CACTCTGTTGCCCAGGCTGGAGCGCAATAGTGTGATCTTGGCTCACTGCAACCTCTGCCTCCCGGGTTCAAATGATTCTCCTGCCTCAGCCTCCCGAGTAGCTGGGACCACAGGCATGCACCACCACATCCACTCATTTTTGTATTTTTAGTAGAGACAGGGTTTCGCCATGTTGGTCAGGATGATCTCAATCTCTTGACCTCATGATCTGCCTGCCTTGGCCTCCCAAAACGTTGGGATTACAAGCATGAGCCACCATGCTGGCCTAATTTTTGTATTTTTAGTAAAGACGGGGTTTCACCATGTAGGCCAGTCTGGTCTTGAACTCCTAACCTCAGATGATCTGCCTGCCTCTGCCTCCCAAAGTGCTGGGATTACAGGTGTGAGCCACCAAGCCTGGCACAAGCAAGTTATTTCTGAGATGAGGCAAGGGAGGCCAGGAGCGGAGAAGCCACTTGCCACATGTCTCAGAGACTCAGTGGTAAAGTTGGGGCATGACTCAGGGCTCCTGACCACCAGCCCAGCGCACTGGCCCTGTGCCAAGCTCCCCCATGGTCCTGGAAGGCACATGTACAGGACGGGCTGTGGGGGCCCAGGGCCTCGGGTACACTGGACACCCTTTCCCTAGATCCACAAGACAGCCAGCAACCTGTCCTATGACATCCACTACTGGATTGGCCAGAACTCCTCCCAGGATGAGCAGGGGGCAGCTGCCATCTACACCACACAGATGGACGACTTCCTGAAGGGCCGGGCCGTGCAGCACCGCGAGGTCCAGGGCAACGAGAGCGAGGCCTTCCGAGGCTACTTCAAGCAAGGCATTGTGTAGGGAAGCGCGCTGCAGGCGGGGGAATGAGGATGAGGGGTAGGGACGGAGAGGTTGGGGCTGAACTGAAGAGGCAGGGACACCCAGGCCTGCTCTGGGCTGGGAAGAACACTCGGAGCCGGCAGAGGTGACCTGGGGCGGGGAAGGGATCCTGAAACTGTGGGGAGAGGCACGAGGGGGACCCTCAGGAGTTTTTGGTGATTTTCCTTCACCTTTCCACTCCCCAACTCTTATTTCTGCCACTGCCTTGCCCTTGGTCTGGAGGTGTTCTGAAATTCTGTAACCCTCGTGAGTCTCTGGAAATCAGCCCCTACTTGAATGTCCTGGAGAGCGCAGTGCTAATCAAGGCCCCAACTCTGGCCGACAGGGAAATGGCTGCACCCCCATCTATCTCTAATGCAGGCCTACCACACTAAAACCAAGACTGCCAGCTTTTCTTTTTTTTCTTTTTCTTTTTCTCTTTCTTTTTTTTTTTTAGATGGAGTCTTGCTCTGTTGCCCAGGCTAGAGTACAGTAGTGTGATCTCAGCTCACTGCAACCTCCACCTCCTGGGCTCAAGCGATTCTCATGCCTCAGCCTCCCCAGTAGCTGGGATTATAGGCGCCCACCACCATGCCTGGCTAATGTTTGTATTTTTAGTAGAGATGGTGTTTCACCATGGGCAGGCTAATCTCGAACTCCTGACCTCAGGTGATCACCTGCCTCAGCCTCCCAGAGTGCTGGGACCACAGGTGTGAGCCACTGCACCTGGCCCCACCTCAGCCTCTTGAGTAGCTGGGACCACAGGCCTGAGCCACCATGCCAGATTTTTTTTTTCTTTTTGAGACAGAGTCTTGCTCTGTCATTCAGGCTGGAGTGCAGCAGCACGATCTCAGTTCACTGCAACCTCTGCCTCCTGGGTTGAAGGGATTCTCCTGCCTCCACCTCCCGAGTAGCTGAGATTACAGGCACCCACCACCACACCCAACTAATTTTTGTATTTTTAGTAGAAACAGTTTCACTGTGTTGGCCAGGCTGGTCTCAAACTCCTGACCTCATGATCCACCCACCTTGGCCTCCCAAGGTGCTGCAATTACAAGTGTGAGCCAGTGCACCCAGCCTCAGCTAATTTTTTAATATATATATAGATTGTAGAGACAAGAGTCTTCCTCTGTTGCCCAGGCTGGTCTCAGACTCCTGGGCTTAAGTGAATTCTCCTACCTCAGCCTCCTAAAGTCTCCTGGGATTACAGGTATGAGCCATCACCCCCAGCCCAGACTGCTGGCTTTTCTGTATGAGTTGAAGTTTTGGCCTAGCTTTCCCCAGGGAAACACACACTCTAGATCTGAGTTGTTACTGACTTGTAGGACAGGACAGGGGCTCTCTAATTAGCCACAATCCCCACCACCACCACCCCTACACTTTTTTTTTGAGACAGCATCTTGGCTTTGTCACCAGGCCGGAGTGCAGTGGTGCGATCTCGGCTCACTGTAACCTCCGCCTCCCAGGTTCAAGTGATTGTCCTGCCTCAGCCTCCTGAGTAGCTGGGACCACAGGTGTGTGCCGCCATGCCCAGCCAATTTTTGTATTTTTAGTAGAGATGGGGTTTCACCATGTTGGCCACGATGGTCTCAATCTCTTGACCTCGTGATCTGCCCACCTCGGCCTCCCAAAGTGCTGGCGTTACAGGCCTGAGCCACCGCGCCTGGCCCTACCCGTCTTTTTGGTCTTGCTCCTCTCTTCCCACGCTACAGCAGTCATCCATTCCCATGGGCACTGGGGTGGCACTTCTTTCTTCTTTTCTTCTACTCTGATCCCCTGTCCTCAGGATTCTGTCCTTATTTATTAACATATTTCTTTTTTTTTTTTGAGATGGAGTCTCACTTTCTCGCCCAGGCTGGCATGCAGTGGTGTGATCTCAGCTCACTGCAAACCTCCGCCTGCCAGGTTCAAGCGATTCTCCTGCCTCAGCCTCCCAAGTAGCTGGGACTACAGGCGTGCACCGCCATGCCTAGCTAACTTTTATATTTTTAGTAGAGATGGGGTTTACCATGTTGGTCAGGCTGGTCTGAAACTCCCGAACTCAAATGATCCATCCACTTTGGCCTGCCAAAGTGCTGGGATTACAGGGGTAAGCTACCTTACCTGGCCTATTAAGACATTTCCCACTATTCATATATCATGGCCCTATTTTTGCATGCATCTCCATAGGGCAGGGACTCGGGTGAGGTGAGTGAGGATCTAGGTTGCAGTTTTGTTTTGAGATGGAGTTTCGCTCTTGTTACCCAGGCTGGGGTGCAGTGCTGCGATCTTGGCTCACTACAACTTCCACCACCTGGGTTCAAGTGATTCTCCTGCCTCAGCCTCCCAAGTAGATGATACTACAGGCACCCACCACCACACCCAGCTAATTTTTATATTTTTGGTAGAGATAGGGTTTTACCACGTTGGCCAGGCTGGTCTCAAACTCCTGACCTGAGGTAATCTGCCTGCCTCGGCCTCCGAAAGTGCTGGGATTACAGGCGTGAGCCACCACGCCCAGCTTAGGGTGCAGTTTTTTGTTTCTTTTTTAATAGCGGTTTTATTCTGCCCAGTTCCTATCAGAGGGTACATAACAGAGGAGGGGATTTCCCAGTACACCAAATTGTTGGTAGGCCTAAATACAGGAACTTTTAAATTATCTTGGTTATACCTAAACATTGCTACTCCCCTACCCTAGCCCTGAAAAAGTGAGAGAGCTTGTCAAGGCAAAGTTTTTTTTTTTTGAGATGGAGTTTCGCTCTTGTTACCCAGGCTGGAGTGCAATGGCACGATCTCAGCTCACCGAAACCTCCACCTCCTGGGTTCAGGCAATTCTCCTGCCTCAGCCTCCTGAGTAGCTGGGATTACAGGCACGCACCACCATGCCCAGCTAATTTTTTGTATTTTTAGTAGAGACGGGGTTTCACCATGTTGACCAGGATAGTCTTGATCTCTTGACCTCGTGATCCACCCGCCTCAGCCCCACAAAGTGCTGGGATTACAGGCTTGAGCCACCGCGCCTGGCTTTTTTTTTTTAATTGCATTTTAGATTTGGGGGTACATGTGAAGAACATGCAAGATTGTTGCATAGGTACACACACGGCAGTGTGATTTGCTGCCTTCCTCCCCATCACCTATATCTGGCATTTCTCCCCATGCTGTCTCTCCCCAACTCCCCACCCCCCACTGTCCCTCCCCTATTTCCCCCCCACAGGCCCCAGTGTGTGATGCTCCCCTCCCTGTGTCCATGTGTTCTCATTGTTCAATACCCGCCTATGAGTGAGAACATGTGGTGTTGGATTTTCTGCTCTTGTGTCAGTTTGCTGAGAATGATGGTTTCCAAGTTCATCCATGTCCCTGCAAAGAACACGAACTCATTGCTTTTCATGACTGCATAGTATTCCATGGTGTATATATGCCACATTTTCCCTGTCCAGTCTATCATCGATGGGCTTTGGGTTGGTTCCAGGTCTTTGCTATTGTGAACAGTGCTGCAATGAACATTCATGTGCATGTGTCCTTATAGTAGAACGATTTATAATCCTTTGGATATATACCCAGTAATGGGATTGCTGGGTCAAATGGAATTTCTATTTCTAGGTCCTTGAGGAATCGCCACAGTATTCCACAATGGTTGAACTAATTTATACTCCCACCAACAGTGTAAAAGTGTTCCTATTTCTCCACATCCTCTCCAGCATCTGTTGTCTCCAGATTTTTTAATGATTGCCATTCTAACTGGCATGAGATGGTATCTCAATGTAGTTTTGATTTGCATTTCTCTAATGACCAGTGATGATGAGCATTTTTTCATATGTTTGTTGGCCTCATGTATGTCTTCTTTTGTAAAGTGTCTGTTCATATTCTTTGCCCACTTTTGAATGGGCTTGTTTGTTTTTTTTTGTAAATCTGTTTTAGTTCTTTGTAGATTCTGGCTAACAGCCCTTTGTCAGATGGGTAGATTGCAAAAATTTTTTCCCATTCTGTTGGTTGCTGATTCACTCTAATGACTGTTTCTTTTGCTGTGCAGAAGCTGTGGAGTTTGATTAGGTCCCATTTGCCTTTTTTGGCTTTTGTTGCCAATGCTTTTGGTGTTTTGGTCATGAAGTCCTTGCCTATGCCTATGTCCTGAATGGTTTTGTCTAAATTTTCTTCTAGGGTTTTTATGGTGTTAGGCCTTATGTTTAAGTCTTTAATCCATCTGGAGTTAATTTTAGTGTAAGGTGTCAGGAAGGGGTCCAGTTTCTGCTTTCCGCACATGGCTGGACATTTTTCCCAACACCATTTATCAAACAAGAAATCCTTTCCCCATCCATTGCTTGTTTTTGTTAGGGTGCAGTTTTTAAGGTCTCTGTAACTGTCAGGGTGTGCAAGGGCACGCCACAGGCCGACCTGACAGTGCAGGACACCCTAAAGTTTGCACCCTCAGCACGTCATTCACCTCACCTAGTCCCAGCCTGGCCCTCACATGGCTCCAGCTCGGCAGCCAGGACCTGGGAGAACAGGGACCAGGCACACCTCCCAGCCCACTCCGTCGGATCAGCTCACCTCTCTTCTCAGGATCCAGAAAGGTGGCGTGGCTTCCGGCATGAAGCACGTGGAGACCAACTCCTTTGACATCCAGAGGCTGCTGCATGTCAAGGGCAAGAGGAACGTGGTAGCTGGAGAGGTAGGCAGGCCCTGCTGGAGCATCGGCCAGGGTGGAGGGCAGGAGCTGAGGAGGGGTGAGAGGCAGGGAGCGATGGCCAAGATGGTGGATGGTAGGTGAGCTCTGAGTGGGGTCTGTACCTCCCCCGTGGCTCCCTAGGTAGAGATGTCCTGGAAGAGTTTCAACCGAGGGGATGTTTTCCTCCTGGACCTCGGGAAGCTAATCATCCAGTGGAACGGACCTGAAAGCAACCGCATGGAGAGACTCAGGGTAACCTGCCCATGCACCACACCTCCATCTCGAATCCTAGCCTGCCCCCGCCTGCTCCTGCAGACCCAGCACCTACCCCCTTCGGCTCCCTTTCCCCAGGCCTCTCCCTGCTGACTTCTGGGGACGGTGGTTGAAGGTGAATCTGTCTCCGTGTGTTTGGGGCAGGTGTGCGTGTTGGAGTTTGCATGTGTGTGCTTGCGTCCAGTCCACTCAGATAGAATGAGTGTCTACAGTGTGGCAGAGCCTGTGCCCAGCCTTGTTGATCCAGCGGTGAATGAAACGGGCATGGGCATGCGTGTGTTTCTACTCACAGCACATTGACACTGTGCGTGCACTGTGAGGCTGCAAGCATGTTTTGGGGCAAAGAGATTGAGTACTGTGATCCTTGGGGCTTGGCTCTCGTCCTGAACTGTGAGGCCTAAGCACATGTTTCCCACGCTGTCAGAACAGAAGACCCAGGAAGCCTGCTCTCCCAGCTATCTTTCCCCTGGTTTCCTTACATGGCTTAAAAGTGTGGCCCTTGCCGGGCGCGGTGGCTCAAGCCTGTAATCCCAGCACTTTGGGAGGCCGAGGCGGGTGGATCACGAGGTCAAGAGATCGAGACCATCCTGGTCAACATGGTGAAACCCCGTCTCTAC